TCCTGGCTCGGTGGGGACACATTCCTGTCCCAGGCAGCGGGCGGGGAGGCTCCTGGCACCCGCTGGGGAGGATGACAGGTTTCCACGCTCAGGAGCAGCGTCATCCCAGCCAGCAGCGGCATCCTGGCAGCACGAGCTAGGCCGCGGCACCCGACAGCACCCAGCCACCCCAGAACGCTGGCAGCGTTGCTCCCCGCTCCACCCCATGCCACCTGAAGCTCTCCAGGCTGGGCACAAATTGCTGCGTTTCGGGATCAGGACAACAACGAGGCTGAAGAACTCAAAGGTCCCCGCACCCCTCCGGCGCCCGCCTGCTCTGCTGGCAGGGCAGAGTCCAGCTCCATCCCTGCCTGCGAAGGCACCGTGCAGAGAGGTCCGACAGCTGTCACCCCGCAGCGTTATCTATCGAACAGGCGTGACCGTGCCTCACCGCAGTGACGGGCACCGGCCTCGCCGGGAGCAAAGTGCCCTGAACCACAGGGCGAGAGAAATGCAAGCTTCTGCCTTGCCTAGGAAGCCCCTCCCTGCGCAGCCACGTCACCCTGTAAAACGGGTTGCAGGGCTGCCGCAAAGGGTTGAGCTCCGAGCCACCTCCGTGACACCGCTTTGTGTGCAAAGGGTGTCACAGGGCTGATTTCTGCTTCGCCTCCAGTCGCCGCTCGTGACACCACCCTGCATCGCTATTTGAACCCAACAGAAGGACGCAGGAGCCCCAGCCAGACCAGACAAATCATCAGGAAGGCCAGGAGTAGTTGGTTTGTTGACTTTATTTTACGTCCTACGTGAGGTAGGGACAGACAGATCCCGTCAGACTGTTCATAGCTTGCCGTACTCCAGGGTATTCGTGGAATAAGAAGAACAGCGAGACTACCCGTGCGTTATGAATCACCTCAAGCTGTTCGATGACAATTCAGCAAGCTGAAGTCAGGAGAGAGTGAATGGTTACAGGGAGCCGTCACAGCATCAGTCCCTCCCCCAGCTCATCACTACCCACTCGGTAAAGCTGCAGCTCTGACACGCACGGATGGCTCCTCTTCTCAGCAGCACAGGGCCACCAGCACCTTCCTCACGGTGGCACCAGCTTGAAAATGGATCTCGACCAACCTGAGACTGGGTGACAGGGTGGGGACGCGCAGCCTCTGGTTCCTGGTGCCCAGGAGGGCTCCCTTGCCTGGGGCCATGCATTGCCCTGGGCAGGGGCACTGGGCTTGTGTCTCGTCCAACGCAGCAGGAGACAGCTCCTACTCACAGCTTTAGAGATCAGAGGAGGAGGAGGAACGTGACCCAGCACTGAAGTAACACCTAATTTGGGCCCCTGAGATGGGCCAGAGCTGAGCCAGGCTGACCTTTTCCAAAATTCATTGGGCTTCACAGCAGAAATTCAGTTTATGATTGGCTTTAAACCACCACAGATGAAACAGAGGACTGCACAGAGGAGATTCAGGCGAGTTACCCACTCCCCTTTCACAGCTCACTGTTGCACAGCAAACTCAACAGCATGATCTGTGGGTTATCTTGGCATCGCAGCCACTTTTGTCCAGACCCTCTGACCATGCACTAAATGATCTCCGCTGAGACCTCGTTGCACCAATGGGCTCCTCCTGCAGCTGGAAGGACTTTCACAGGTCTCTACACTCCGGTAGAACACTACAGCAGTGACTGCTGCCATTCTCCAACATGTATATGGCCATAACACAAAATGGACAGTAAAACAATATATATGGTAAAACAATGTTTTTCTCAATATGCTTGTAGGGGTTAAACCCAGACCATCCTGGATGAGCTCCCAGCTGCAGCCTTCCTGCTAGAGCCAGGGTCCTGTTACTACAAGCATTTTTTAAATAGAAATCGCCATCGCCAGCTAGATCCTTTCCCCAGAGCTCCAGCAAGCCCTTGGGCAGCACTCTTTTCTGAGTGGCAGGAAACAAACCCTAGGGTGTGAGACAACAGGGGCTAAGACCTTGCTGGGAAGAAGAGTAGAGAATTGTGGGAAAAGTTAGTCAATAACTCCACAATTATCAAGTGTCTTCAGGTTAGGGAGGACCTAGACCTGAAGCCAGCAGAGTGAGACTGGAAGTCAGATTAGATTGCCCAGGGCTGTTAAGACAAGTCTTGAGCATCTCCAAGGATGGAGATGCCACGATGCTTCTAGGGAAGGATCCCACCACTTCAGCCAGGCTCTGCTCTCAGCATCGCCCTGCACAGCAGCTACTCCCCTCATCATAGAGGGCTGGGACTGTGTACATTGATGACGAGAGGGAAGAGAGCTGTCCAAGCATCCCATCCATCAGTGAGAGACCTGAGCTGCTCTGGGTACTTCCATAATTATCTCAGTTACCGTCCGTCAGCCGCAGTTGCTTCCACCAAGCCCAGCAGAGCCCGCAGCCACCCGCTGGAGATGTCACATCCAGAGGTGCCCATTCCCCACAGCTGGTCACTCCGAGCAGCCCCAGCTGGCTCTTAGCTGCCCATTCCCACAGGTGACACCAGCTCACCCTCCACCAACGACCAGGGCCATTTTATCCATCCTGCCCTGAGCCACTCATCAGCCAACCATCCCCTGCCCAGCAAGAAAGCACCAGAGAGGAGTCAATTTTTCTTGCTAGTTCTAGTTCTTCTCAGTAAATAACAGGACCTCTTTGCTGATCTCCAAGAGACAAGTGGGCAAGGTTGGAAAAAGCAGGATCGATTCCACCCACATGTCAGTGGCCACGAAGGACCTAGGATGGCTCATTTCAAATCCCAGCTTGATGCTGGACTCTTTCACCAACACGCCCAATGGAGGCCAGGCCAGCAGATCAAAGTCCTTTCACCAGCTCGCTCACGCCCATTTAAAACAGACACCCTAGGAAGCACCTCAGCCACCAGCACGGAAAGGTATCGCACTGGCTCTGCTCCTGCCCACGTTGGTCACTGAAATCAGCCACAAAGCCACAGGGCTCAATACTGAGATGACTCCAGGATTTACAAAAAAACCTCCTCCAGCAGATGGGACTTCGCACCCACCCAGCTGAGCGTGGAAGGCTCTGCTGTAGGCAAGGGCTTCCAGAAACAGCTTCCCCGCTCACCCTATACGCCTTCCACTCTCCGCAACGCGGAAGATGGCAGGACATGCTCTCTCCTGGCCCTACAGCCCTTTTAGTACAAACCACCTCAGCAGGTCTGGGAATACAGCAGTTTCAAAGGGAACTGGTGAAGGGAAGGACTTCATTCACCACTGGAAATGATTTCTGGATGACAGACTCCTGCACAGGAGAAATAGGCATGAAGCATCAAAACAGAATAAATTTTAACTCACAGCATTAGCCCCACTCTGGTGAAGCCCCAGTGACTCGGTGGCTCTTGGTAGTGGTGGTCCAACAGACCACACGGGCTTAAGACGGAGCTGGGGGTATAAAAGTGGACCACCATCTGGTAGCTCACAGTGCCAGGCAATGACTAGCCCTGCCCAGGGCTAGGAAAATCAAGGAACATTTCCAACGGTCTTGAAGTTGTAAAGCTTTCGTTGCCCACTCCTCACTCACACACTGCATGTCCACCTGCTCAGGGAGCTCCAATCCTTGGTCCACAGTCTCGCCACTCCCCAAGGGCAAAGCCTTTCCCTGCCCTCCTGAAACCTCCGCCTACCTCCCCAGAGCAGAGCCCGGCTCTGCTGTGCCTGCTACTGCTCTAACCCTGCTCTGTGGGAGAAGAGCTTGGCCCTGCCTGCACATCTCCACGAGAACTAGAACAGATTAGTTTTAATACTGGCTTTTAGGGGAAAACCAAGGCTTGAAGAGCCTGGGAGAACAGCTGCTAAGCCACCAGCACGCTGGATGCAGAACTGGAGGTTACAGAGCAGGAGGGAAGCAGACAGTTCCCACCTCCCAGTTCCCTCAGTAGGGGAGCAGCTCCCCCAGCAGTCGCTGCTGTGCAGGGGGTGCAAGGAACCAGACATGGTCACAGGAACTGGGATTTTGTGCAATGCAAAAGCAAGGGAGCCCCTTCCTGACAGCACCGGCACTCCTGCTGTGCGGTTCTGTCGTGACACCTGGTGGCCAGAGGCACCCTGCAGCACCTGCCACCAGCCTGCCCCATCTCTTCTTAAACCTAGATGAATGATCTCATTTCCCTTGACCTTGGGTGACAGCAGGAACAAGGCAAGGGAATGTGGTAATGTGGTCAGCACACTCAGTCTAGGAGACACTGAACATCTCTGAGGTCTCAGCAGCAGGTCACAGCTCTCTGTCTCATGCTGTAACCTGCCATGCACAGCCTGGGAGGAGCAAGAGTTGTGGAGCTGCAACAGCGACATGTGGAGAAGAAACTCATGACAAAAGCCTACCAGATCTTTCTTATGTATGAGGGCTGGACCAGGGTTTCATTACTGCAATCACATTCACACTGCAAGCTAGCTCCCATAAGATCCAAACCTCCATGTCCAAAGAGGTCCTGGTTACCACTGCTGGGAGCCAGGCTTTGGTAAACACCTATATGTTTATTATATATACACATCCTGGGGGGACAAGGAAGCTCTTCCCACTGCATGGTTTTGTCGAATGATTGTCCATGCTGCTTGGTCAGGCTGCAACATCACTCTTCCCACGGACTCATATCTGTGTCAATGGCCACACAGTTGTAGGCGGCATAGCGCAACTTCTCTTCACACACCTTGGCTCTAGGGACAGCAGGAGGAGGGGGGAAGACAAGGAGGAGTTGTCATTGCTGCATTTGCCAGCCGAGAGGACAAGATGCTTTCCGAGATGGAGGCTACGCTTCACCAGCCGCTCACAGAGACAATCACAGAGCCACACGGTACAGGCAAGGGCACACAAGTGTGGCAAAGCGATGGGGCCCTGTGGGTCAGCACCAAGGTTGGGAGTCCAGACATACAGTCCACCAGACGCAGGGAAGCACCAAAACTTACGTGGCATAGTTGGGCAAGAAGAGGGTGCTGGAGCAGGTGGACGACTCCGGCAAAGCATCTGTCGTCTCAGAGCTTGGAGAGAAGGTGACAAACAGGTCAGGACCAGGAGGCCAACAAGGCAGGTGAGACCAGACCACACATCCCTTTGGTGTGGGGTCTGTCAGCCTTGCAGTCTACAGAAGAATGGACTCACCCCATCTTGTCTGGATAGATGTAGATCCGTGCTGGAAGGCGGCTTCTGCCAGTGACAAATCTGAGGAAGCGGCTGCGATCCTCTGTGAAGCAAAAGCAAAGACATAAGCAGACCCTAGAGCGATGTCAGATGGAGCACAGCCACTTCCAGGTATCCCCAGCGCTAGCAAGCAGTTCCTTCAGCCCAGCTCCTTGCTCTCCTCAGCTCCTATCTGTTCCCCAGGCAGCAACAAGGGTGCCTTCACCCTCCCAGTCCCCAGCCAGCATGCAGGGGCTGTCATGGCACAAGATACACAGGGACAGATCAAAGCACCCACCATTGGTGAAGTTGTTGAGTGCTTCCCAGAAGTACTGAACACGGGTGTCCAGTGGCTCAAAGTCCTCAAATCGGGCTGGCAGAAAGGATACAGAATAAGAGTTTATTAAAGATCCAGGCTCCTCCTGGACTAATTAGAAGAGGGCCCCTCCCGATCACCCAGGGGTCCTCTGGCAGCGCAGGAAGAAACCTCCAGGTGCCTTCAGGGTGTGAGCATGTAGACCTGAGGTGCGAGGGACACACACTGTCAGGCCCCTCCCAGAAAGCACATCCAGATCCACATCTCAGCTCCACAGACGCTCAGACACTGCCAGCCTAAGGGATGCCCCAGCCACTACTCTTGAGGCCCAGCATGGAGACAAAGGCCGACACCCCTGCTCCCATCACACCCAGCTAAGGGCAAGAAGCACACAGGCCCACATCCTCACTGCAATAAAGGCTAATATTGGCCTCCCACAACTCTCCTTGTCCTAGCACAGAGAGAAGAGAGTCTTGTTTTCAGGGAGTTTTCAGCAGAGCCCTTCACTTACTGAGCTTCTTCAGGGCATCAACTGTGACTTCAGGGTCTCCACAGACTTTTTTTTCCAGCTCCTGCCAGGTGAGGAGGTCAAGAACAGCTTGGGGCACCACCTTCAGCAGCCCAGCCTGCATGGCCATGATCTGAAAAGGAGACAGGGCAGGTAGACAGCATGTCTTGCCCTTATCCCTGGCTCGTGGATGAGCCTAGGGACTTGACTGGACACAGCCATGTGACTGCTCAGCAAACGCTCCAAGGAACCTGAAGAAGGGAACAGGATCCCTCAGAGATGCACCCCAGCTCATTCTGGAAGCCCGTGTCAGAGCAAGGAATAAAACCCAGTGTCTCCTACCAGAACAAGACTGGGG